CCCCCCCCCCCCCCCGAATGCCCGGCCCTTGCTGTGCACCAATCCTTGCTGCCTAGCTGCAAAACGGGGATACAGACGGGAAAAGGGGGCTGACGACAGGACGTGACGTCTCATCCCATTTCGCACACTTTTCTGTGGTCTGCGGCCCAGGAATCACTGAATTAGGGATCAAGTATCAGAGGGGCGGCCGTGTTAATCTGACGCTGCAAAAGCAACGAGGAGTCCTGTGGCACCTCACAGACTAACTGCTGCCTAGCTGCAAAACGGGGATACAGACGGGAAAAGGGGGCTGACGACAGGACGTGACGTCTCATCCCATTTCGCACACTTTTCTGTGGTCTGCGGCCCAGGAATCACTGAATTAGGGATCAAGTATCAGAGGGGCGGCCGTGTTAATCTGACGCTGCAAAAGCAACGAGGAGTCCTGTGGCACCTCACAGACTAACAGCGTTATTAGAGCATAAGCTTCCGTGCGCAAAGACCGTGCATGTGACGAAGTGGGTCTTTGCCCAAGAAAGCGTATGCTCCAATAACTCGGTTAGTCTATAAGGTGTCACAGGACTCCTCGTCGCTTTTGAATTAGGGACGTGAAGGATTAGTCGACTGTCCAGTAAGCAAATGCTTATTTGCTTCCCACAGCCCTTGGCTGCCCCTATCAGAAAGAGGGAAAGGAGGGAGTACTCTGAAGGGGCAACACTGTATGCATCTGAGAGATTAACGCACGTTAAAAAAATGAATGGGTTAATTCTGCCCCGCATTAATAAAAGGTGTTAATGCACATTAATTGACAGTCCTTGTTTTTTTACCCCCATTTTTCATAATTCCATTCCCTGATGAAGGGTTTGTTTCCATGCTATGACAAAAAGGCTGAGAGCTGCCACCTGTGTCAGTCTCTTTGTGGAAAAAAACTGCTGGACCCCCAGGGCTCCTCAGTCTAGTGGGTCCGGCTCTGTGTGAACCAATAATGGGAAGCTGAAGCCAGACAAAATCAGACTAGGAAGGGGGCAGGCATGTTTGGTGGGGAAGGTGATTAGCCGCTGAATCAAATGGCTGAAGAACTGGTGGATTCTTCATCTCCTGATGTCTTCAAAACAAAACTTGAGAACTGTACAGAAAATATGCTTAGGGGAAGAAAGGTGTGTCCTGAAGTAATGAGATTAATTCCAATGGCTTGTGACACGGATGAGACCAGAGTGCGTGATCTAATGATCCCTCCTGATCCAAAGAATCTGTGTATCCTAGGATCCCATCATGTAAACATTCAGCAGGTGTGTTTAATTTTATGTATCTCAGTGATCCCCCTGACTTCGTCTCTGATGTGGGGAGGGTTTATAATGTCAGGGTCGATTTAGTCCTGAAGAGAGGGCCTAAGTCTAGGCTACAAATAATGGAAGGAGACTAGGGGTCCTAAATAACAGGAGCCTAAATTTAGACACCTACATCCATATTCAGGCAGAGGAACATGCAGCTTCTTGATCAGAGACACTGGGCGCTCAGAGCCGAATCCCATCGTGGCAGGTGCAGTGATGTGGCACTCGAGCTAGGTAGTGAGAGAGATGAATATGGATTTGGGATCTAACCTGTGAGCGCTGTTCTAGACTCAGCATTTGCCTAAAATGGCAGAGTCTAGCCTTTGTGTCACTAGGGACAGAATCGGAGGAGAACAGGGATGTGGAAAGGAGTAAAGTCTCTTCTGAAATGTCTCCAATGGCCCTTCTCCCTCTGACAGGCTGCAGAACACCCATATCTGTCTCCAGCTCAGCCCACGGCCTGCAGAGCCAGGGACAGGAAATGGCCGCGGCGGGGCCGGTGACCTTCGAGGAGGTGGCTGTGTATTTCTCTGAGGAGGAATGGGCTCTGCTGGACCCGGGCCAGAGAGCCCTCTACTGGGACGTGATGCAGGAGAATTACGAGGCTGTGCGCTGGCTGGGTAAGGATTCCTGTCCCCACGGGTATCAGAAGCTGGGGGGGCTCTGGAGCTGCTGGGTTGGGTTTGGTTCAGGGTCCCTCATTGCCCGAACCTCCAATATCAGCAGTATCTGCCCCAGTAATCCTGGCTCCTGTGTGAGAGGAGGTTCAGTGACATAATAGCGGTGCTGCTCTTCCCACAGCCAAGGTCTCATTGTGGTTCCAGCCATCTTGCCCATGTTGTGCCTTGGCCAGAGGTGTCAGTGGAAGGGCCCAGGCAGGAACGGCAGAACAGCCAAGGTCTCAATGCGCTTCCCCACCATGTTGCGCTTGCCCATGTTGTGCTTCAGCTGGAGGTTTCAGTGGAAGGGCCCAGGCAGAAACGGCAGGTACCAGACTTGTGGGTCTGGGTCTGGCTACTGTTAGTGCCTGCAGGGTCCCCTTGTGCCAGTGGCTGAGCTCTGGAAGAAGGGCGCAGTTCCCAGAGTCCTTCCCTGCCTGTGGTTGATCGCAGTGACATGTTGCTTTCTGCCAGGGGGAGCGTTGGGGCTCAGGCTGGGGCTGGGGCTGAGGGAGGGCGGATGAGGCCGTTCACGCTCTGCGGGCGTTCTGTGGGGGCAGCTCTGTAGCAGATAGACATGAGCAGAGCTCTTCCTGTGTGTCAGGCACAGGGCCTGGGTCCCCTTTGAGCCGTCCGGCTTTATTCTCCCTGGGGCTCACTTGCCTCTCTGTGGAATGGAGATAATCTCCTCATCTGTCTTGTCTTTTTAGAGGGAAATCTCTTTGGGCAGGGACTTTAACACGTTTGAACTGCCGCTAGTGGCATGCCCTGCCACAGACTTCCTTTGTGATCTTGGTCAACTCACTGTCTGTGTCCAGTACCCTGTCTCTTCAATAGCTGTTACAGAGTGTCTCTGCCTCACAGAGGTGGGGAAGGATACATACAATAATTAGGGGAGATGCTCTGCTCCATCTAAGCACCCTGATAGCACAGTTGGGTCCTGATTGACATTGGAGATCCTAAGTGCTTCTCCGACTGATAAACTTTGCTTCTTATAGCAGCTGCGGCACCGTACAAATAGCTGCTAGCGCCACGGAGCATCGTCACTGGCACAGCATGCGGCTAGTCCATGCAGCACAGCTCAGGGCTGTGGCTAAAGAAACATCGAGGATCTGTTTGGGGGCTAAGGATCTCTACTATATATTGTCAAAGGAGCAGGGTGCTTGTGTCTCAGCTCCACAGTTACAGTGAGACGTGTCCCACCCCAGCAATGGTACGGGCTTAGTCATCAACCAAAACACTGCTCCTGTGCCAGCATGAACATATCCATCCTTCAACTTCCCCTGTCATATATTGACAAAAACAAAATTCATGTTGAGCTCCATGTGTTCTGCCTGTTTGGACAAATTGTCCGTGTCCATTATCCCCTTGTCTCCCTGCTGTGGGTCGGTGTGCTCCTCTGCCATCTCGTAGGCGTGTGTGTTGGCAGGTACTGCACCGATGGGGTGTTTACTGCCCTCCTCCCTGCTCGGTAATGTCCTTGCCTGCTTAGCTGGGACCCAGTGCCCTCCCATTTGCCAGGGCCTGGCCTGTTCTGGTTCAGAAATGATGTCCACACACAAACAGGATAATCACAGTCACCACATCGCAACGTTCCCATTGGCACTGCACGACACACTTCACACAAGATCTGTTGCATTTGTGTAACAGCGGTAGCACGATGGCGGACGTGGTCAAGTTTTAATCCTAGGAAGTCCCGATGGGCAGGGGGTCCCCACAGCATTAAGTGATGATCAAAAAAGGGCTCTGCCAGAAGTGGCGAGAACGTACTAACAAGGTGCAAATACGTGCCCAATGGGGGAACAACATAAGCTGGCCAGGTGGGCCACAAGGCGAACGTGGGGAAACCGCACAGGGAGGCTGCTGCTGCTGGTGGAGTAGAACTGACGCTGCAGAGGGGAAGCTCAGCGGCAGCAACAGCCACACGCACCGGAGAAGCAGCCCAGCCCAATGCACCCTGGCCGGCTGCGGGAGCGGCAGCTGTTGTGGGCAGCCGGCAGGGCCACCCAGACACAGGCAGTTGGGGCCGGCGCCTGCAGCGTAGGCAGGGCCTGGAGCAGCCAGCCAAGGATTCACTTTGCAGCTCAGACAACTTCCTCTGCCACCTCCTGGATCTAGTAGAGCCCCCAAGCAGGGCAGCCAGGAGTGGTGTGGGCGGAGTCCTTGGGGAGCCAGAGCGCTGCTGGGGCCTTTCTCTCCAGGTCCTGCTGACCTGCCATGTGGCAGCTGCAGTCTGAGCCCTGCTTGGGGGCCTCGGTGCCAGCCCTGGCCGGAGCTCCCCTGAGCAGTGTGATCCTGTCCCGCCCTGCAACGGGGGATGGGGTGGGCTGTGAGGGAGACTGAGTTGTACCCTAGAGAGTGCAGCAGAGAGCTCAGCTCCCCCCCGGGGAATACGCTGGGCCGTTCCCGAGGCAGGGGGGCTGCACCTTTACTGCAGGTGAGTGAGAGATGGGATCTTGTACCAGCCAGAGCCCCGTCTCTGCAAGGGGGGAGGAGCCTCTCTGGGTGGGCGACGGATCCTGGCTCTGGAAGCAGTAATGGCACAGACCTTAATGAACAAGATCAGCACTGGGTTCATTGCTCCCCGGGCAGGATTTCCAGTCTCCAAAGCTCACGTGATCTCCTGGGTGGAGTGAGGGGAGGAGCTGTGGATCCCGGATCTCCAGGGCTCTGAGGAAGGGGGGCTCGGCAGTGACACCCGCACAGGGGAGCAATTGGCTAACCTGACTCAGAAACCAATTTCTGTGTCCTCATAGCTGGTGTCACTTCTGCATTATCATCAAGTGTAACTGGCCCGTCAGCTTTTGAGCTACTCCAACCAGAAGGTTTCGAGGGGAAGGGTGGGTTCTCTCCTTTGGGAAAGGCTTATGAGAAATGAGGATCAACTCAGCTCATGATTATTCCTCCTTTCCAGCCATTCTTTGGGTGTGTTACCTCTTTTCTGTTCCCCTTCCAGAGTTTTCCTTTCAGCTCAGTCCAAACAGTGACTCCTTTCTGGATTCTCTCTCTATCCCAGCAGGTGATGAGACACAGAGTGAGAACAACGAGGAGAGTCTTCAGCCTGAAGGGCATGTTTCCCAGAGTCCTGAGCAGGGAGAGACCTGGGAGCATCAGTGTAGCCGTGAACTGCTACAGGGAAGCCATCTGGAGGAGGGGCAGGGTAAATCCAGTCACCGGAGCCACACAGAAACCGTTCAACAGAAAATCCTCTGTCAAGACGCATCCCGCACTTGCAGTGAGAGTGCAGGTCTTATCGAACAGGAAAGAACCTACCGAGGAGGGAAGCCGTTCAAATGCTCTGACTGTGGGAAATGCTTCAGTCTGGGCTCAGTCCTTGTTACCCACAGGAGAAGCCACACAGGGGAGAAACCCTTCTGCTGCTCCGACTGTGGGAAAAGCTTTAGTAAGAGGTCAAACCTTGTTAGACATTGGAGAACCCACACTGGAGAGAAATCCTTCATCTGCTCTGACTGCGGGAACAGCTACAATTGCAGCTCAGACCTTGTTACCCACAGGAGAATCCACGGAAGGGAGAAACCCTTCAACTGCTCCGACTGCGGGAAAAGCTACAGTAAGAGCTCGGATCTTCTTATCCATTGGAGAAGCCACACAGGGGAGAAACCTTTCATCTGCTCTGACTGTGGGAAAAGCTTCGGTAAGAGCTCAGAGTTTGTTAGACACAGGCGAATCCACACGGGAGAGAAACCCTTCAACTGCTCCGACTGTGGGAAAAGCTTCAGACAGAGCTCACACCTTGTGACCCACAGGAGAACCCACACCGGGGAGAAACCCTTCAACTGCTCTGACTGCGGAAAAAGCTTCAATCAGCTCTCAATTCTTGTTAGACATAGACGAACCCACACGGGGGAGAAACCCTTCAGCTGCTCTGACTGCGGGAAAAGCTTCTATCAGCGCTCAAGTCTTGTTAGACATAAGACAACCCACACGGGCGAGAGACCCTTCAGCTGCTCTTACTGTGGGAAAAGCTTCAGTCAGTGCTCCTGCCTTACTAACCAGATAATACATACAAGAGAGACAACCCAACTGCTCTGATTGACGGAAAGTTTTAAAATACAGGTCAGACGTTGTTTAGACAGAGGAGAAGCCACATGGGAGATATGCTTCAGCTTGGGAACAGCTACAGTGAATGCTCTCACCCTATTGCACATCAGACCATTCTCACAAGACAGAGCCCCCATAACTGCTCTGACTGTGAGCAAAGATTCATCTGGGCCTAATACCTCATTGATCATGTCTTGGAAGAGAAAAGAAACCGCTGTAGTTCAAGCAGAAAACCTTTAATCAATTTCCATACATTCTATCACATTGGAGTACCCAAATATGGGAAACCCTATTGTATTGTAACAGGGTTTCTGGGGGCATTGCCAATAGGGTTAAATCAGGGTGAATTGTTTAAAGGCAGGGCTAATTATAACCCCAGCCTGACAGTCCTCCACCAGAAAGCACATCAAAGCACTCACAAAGAGTACTTCTGTTTGCTGCACTGGCCAGCAAGAAGACAAACAAGCAGTCATCTCAGACTCACCATCTTCTCCTGTGCCACAGCCAATGAAAGTTGTGAAAACCAAGCTCACCAACTCCAAACAGGTTCTCACCATGCCAAAGGATCTGCCACATGGCCAAGTCAATTTATACTTTAGATCCTACCTGAAAGAGCACACTGTGCCAGTCCTTTAGAATCTAAAACCAAAAATTTATGAATACTGAAAGAAAGAAAATGTTGAGAATAAAATTGTTAAAGGACACAACTTACATACACCAATTGCAGTGTTCCAGGTGCAGGTTTGTAGCAGAGATGGAATAAGCTGCTGTCTTTCATCTGAAGAAGTGGGTTGAGCTACAAAAGCTTATGATACCATTTACATTTTTTGTTAGTCTCTAAGGTGATGAAGGTGTTTTCTATTACAAACTAACACGGCTACCTCTATGAAACTGCTGTCTTAAAAGTATTTGGGGCACATCCTCTGTTAGGATGGGTCATCAGTCCTTCTGCACCCAGTTGATAGCAAAGATGCCCCTGAAGTGATGAGCTGGAATGAAGACAAAGATGCAGGAACCTCTAGGTACCTTTGCCCATGCAGAGGGAATTCCGGTGTATGCGCTGTGTGTACTTTCCTCCCAAAATGGTGTTTGTCACATGAGCAAGTCATCTGTCCACACGTGACTCAGTCCTTAGTCAAGCTGTCGTCTTACATGCTGATCTGAAGTTACACAGCAAAGTCTTCAGCTGTGGATTGGCGCCACATGAGGTGTATTGGAGTCCTGTGGCACCTTATAGACTAAGGGTACGTCTACACTAGCTTGTTAGTTCGAGCTAGGTAGGGTAATGAGGGCAAGCGGAGTTGCAAATGAAGCCCGGGATTTAAATATCGCGGGCTTCGTTTGCATGTTCCCGGGCACCACCATTTTTAAATCCCCCTTAGTCCGAGCTCTGTGCCCGTGGCTACATGCGGCACGGAGTAGGTAGTTCGAATTAAAGATCCTAATTCGAACTACCGTTACTCCTCGTGGAATGACGTACCCTAACAGATGCATTGGAGCATAAGCTTTCATGGGCAAAGACCCACTTCATCAGATGCATCTGACAAAGTGACTCTTTGCCCACAAAAGCTTATACTCCAATATATCTGTTAGTCCATAAGGTGCCACAGGACTCCTTGTCGCTTTTGCAGATCCAGACTAACACGGCTACCCCTCTGATACTTGAGGTGTATTGTCAGTCAAGTATTGCTAGTCAGTTAAGTAGCAGCCCTTTCACAACAGGTGTGTGAAACCTGTTAATAATCTCCCAGAAGAAACGTGAAATACTAGTACAGAGCCAATACTCATAACTTCAGATATAAAATGGTACATGTCAATGAGAGCAAACATTCTTCTAAAGACAAAAGTGGAATCAAATTTGCGGTCCATTTTTGTCAGTGTTGTGGTCATATGATTTAAAAAACCGTTAGGTTCACAATTTCAGATGTTTTAATTTGAAATGCCACATGGTGTTGTAATTTCAGGGGTCCTGACCAAAAAAGGAATTGTGGAGAGGTGTCAGAAGTGTCACAATGTTATTGCTGGAGGAGTTGTGGTATTGCTGCCATTCTGTGCTGTGTTCAGAGTTGGGGGCCTGTCCAACAGCCATCACTCTGTGGTCATCTTGCTCTGAAGGCAGGCAGACCTCTAACTAAGGGCCAGATTAAATTCCTCCTATTGATGAAGCATTTGGAAGTGGAGGAGAGGGAAAAGCAGAGACGCTTTGAGCTGGAGAAAACTGAGAAGCTGGACACTCCAAAAGGGGAAAGCAGAGGCGCTTTGAGCTTGAGAAAGCTGAGAAGCTGGGCGCTCCAGCCGTGCTCCACCTAATGCTCCCCAACCCAAGAAGCACCCGGTGTTCAAGATAGGAGATGATGCGGAGGCCGCCTTAGTGAATTTAGAATGTGCCTGTCTTGGGTACAGCATCCCCAAAGAGCAGTACATGATGGAGCTGAGACCACAACTCAGTGGCCTTTTAGCAGAATTGGCAGCTGAAATGCCTGAGGAAAACATGAATGATCATTAGTTTTTTAAGCAAGAGGCCAGAACTTGGATGTGGCTCACCACCGAACATGCCTGTTGCCGTTTCAGAGCCCGAAGATGGAAACCAGACGTGCCTGCGTGCTTAAAAAAAACCAAAACCTGGGACGCAGGGATATCAGGAGCAGATGTTAATACTATGGAAGAGCCAGCTCTCCTGGTGAAAACAGAACCATTCCCATAGGGCTTTACTATAGACCTCCAAAGATACAGTGAAGATGGGAAGCCCAAAACCATAACAGGGGTGGGGAAAATTGGAGGCTGGAGGTGCGATTACAAAAGAAAACTGCCAGCCATTCGAGGGAGTACCAGAGGGGCTGTCTCAGAATGGGAGGAGTCAGACGCGAGACTTAGACAGCAAGTAGAACACAAGGTTTGTTTGTTGACAGGGACACAGCATAGCCCGACTTCTTGTTACAGGAACCAGGCTCATTTGGTACAATCCATCTTGGGCATAGGAAGGCCCAGAGCCAGGATTCTGGGCCCCTGCCTGTCCCCCCCAAGCCAGCTAGACTCCCCTCTCCCTAAGCCAGCCAAAAAACTAGCTCATGCACCCAGCAACTGGCCCCAGCCCTGCCTACTGCTTTGTCCCGCTCCCCAGGTATCATCTGTCACAGGCTGCATCTTCCCCTGAGGGGCAGGTGACCAGAGGCCTGGGTCATTCCCTCTGTGCGTCCCCTCAGGAGCCCCATCCCCCGCTGGGTACCACACGCAGTCATTGCAGAGCAGCCTAGGGCAGTCGGAATCGCATACAGCACAACAAAGCAAACAGTGAGCACGAGACCCACTGTGTCACATCTCCCCCCTTTGAGACCGAACCGAGCAGGGTCACTCAGCCAGTGGCCTGGGGAAGTTCAGGGCCTTCTCTCCATGCCAGAGGGTCAGCAGGGACTCGGCACCGTCCTTGACACAGACCCCTCCATGTCCCCATGTGGAAGGAACAGCCTCCAGCTCAGCAGTTCGGTGCTGGGCCCATGGTGCAGCCCTTGAAGCTGTCTGACTTCTCCCCATTGGGACACAATGCAGCTCCGTGGGGAAATCATTCTCTCACATCTGGGCCGTTAGCTGGGCTTTGCTGAACCCTCTGATCTTCATCCCTCTCTCCTGGCAGAGCTCAGCAATGTCCCTGCTCTGAAGTGGCTTCACACAGTCAAAGAGACTAACAAGTAACTCTTTTGGCGGAGTCTGGTTCTCTGAGACTTCACCTTTGATATACAACACAGCTCAGGGCTCTTAACAAAGGGGCTGATGTACTCGCCTGGGAAAGTTTCCCAGACTAAGCCCGTTAAGACGCTCCTTGTATATAAGTTGTTGTATTCCTTGTATGCAGAGGATCTTGGTCTTTGTGTATTTAGTAGTGAATTTAGTGTGTGCAAGTATAGTATTATCCAAAACCTCCAAGAAGAAATCACAGCCAATGTGGACCAGTCTGTCGAGTGATTGGGCAACAAAATGGCAAATGAAATTTAATGTGGCTAAATATAAAGTAATGCACATTGGAAAAAATAACCCCAACTATACGTACAGTATGATGGGAGCTAATTTGGCTACGACAAATCAGGCAAGAGATCTTGGAGTTATCGTTGATAGTTCTCTGAAAACTTCCACACAGTGTGCTGCGGTGGTCAAAATGGCAAATAGAAGGTTAGGAATTATTAAGAAAGGGATAAAAAATACGACACAGAATATCTTATGCCCCTGTATAAAACTATGGTACACCCACATCTTGAATACTGTGTACAGATGTGGTCTCCTCACCTCAAAAAAGAAATTTTGGCCTTGAAAAGGGTTCAGAAAAGGGCAACTAAAATGATGAGGGGTTTGGAACGGGTCCCCTATGAAGAGAGGCTAAAGCGACTGGGACTTTTCAGTTTAGAAAAGAGGAGACTGAGGGGGGCTATGATAGAGGTCTATAAAATCATGAGTGGTGTGGAGAGGGTGAATAAAGAAAAGTTCTTCATTAGTTCCCATAATAGAAGGACTAGAGGACACCAAATGAAATTAATGGGTAGCAGGTTTAAAACCAATAAAAGAAAGTTCTTCACGCAACGTGTAGTCAACCTGTGGAACTCCTCAGCAAAGGAGGCTGTGAAGGCTAGGGCTATAACAGTTTAAAGAGAAGCTAGATAATTTCATGGAGGTTAGGTCCATAAAAGGCTATTAGCCAGGGGATAAAATGGTGTCCTTGGCCTCTGTTTGTCAGAGGCCGGAGAGGGATGGCAGGAGACAAATCGCTTGATCATTGTCTTCGGTCCACCCCCTCTGGGGCACCTGGTGCTGGCCACTGTCGGCAGACAGGACACTGGGCTAGATGGACCTTTGGTCTGACCCAGTACGGTTGTTCTTATGTTCCCTGTGTGTGATTTGGGAGGTGCATGATGGGTAAGAGGGGTGCTTGGCCTTTTCTGAACATCCAGCATTCAGTAACCAAAGGGCTAAACCCAGGTAGCTAGAAAGTGTTGGCAGGAAGCCAGGAGAACTAAGAAACTATTGGAATTTGGGAAGGGTACCTGCCTGCTGGTTTTCTTTGTGTTCTTTTTAAGGCAGGAGCTGGGGGAACAAGCTGAATGGAACCCGGCAGAACCATCATGCCTTCAAAGCATACGGGGCATGGAAGCACGGGTAGGTGAGTCAGTAGGAAATGTCTATTTAGACACAATCAGGCTGTTTTCTGTGTTTCTTGATCAATTAAACGTCTCTGTGCCCCCCACACCGTACACTGTAACCTTGAGCTGAAACCCAGGGGTGTTTAGTGCTTTTCTCAGTGACTTTAAAACACTTAGCAACCAAGTGTGCTCTGTGAAGTCTTTTAATGAAATCACTTTCCAGGACACAAGAATCAAATCCTCACCTTAAAAACAAAGGCAAGAGGAGGTCAGTGGATACCTCCTAAGACTGAGAGGTGAGCTGTCAGATTGGCTGTGGCCCACCTCTGAACATGCCTGTTGCTGTTTCAGTGTCCTAAGTGGAAACCAGACGTGGCATGGCCCCAACATGCCTGCCAGGTTAAAATAACTGGGATGCAGGAAGGGCAGGACTTGGGTAATATGCCAGGTTCATCTGGGCACCTCTGCAGGGTCGAGTCAGGGCTATTTTCAGCCCAAGCCTGGGGAGGGGCGAGCCTTCCATGTAAGACACCAAACCAGACAGCTCTTCAGCTGCCACTCTGGCCAGCAGAAAGTCTCACAAGCGAAACCCCTTCAACCCCCCAGCTTTACCTGTGTCACAACCTGCCCCACCCCGACACAGGCGACAGGTTATTAAACCAATCTCTCCAGCTCCTACTCCCAAAGAACCAGCTCAGTTCGTACCTCATCTTACCCAAAAGAGCACGCTGGGCCAGTCCTTGATTAACCTGGAGAGTTTAGATTCTAAGCAGAAAGGTTGCGCGTGAGATGGTTACACATCACCGAGTGCTCGCGGCAGGCTCTTAGCAGAGACGTAACAAACTGCCAGCTTACAAGTCTCTGGTTACAGCCTATGTCCGTCTGGGCCCGCTGGTGCGTCTGGACTGGAGCGCAGGAGTGACGACGGGATGGAGGCAATCTCAGAAACATCCTGCCCATGGAGATGGAAAACACATTTGTCTTCTGGGTGCTGGTGCCGCCCAGCATGGACTGATCACATGACCACATACCAGTTTCTGCTTTTTTTAGCCGAGGAGCCATGGAGTCCCCAGGTGTGCCCTCCGCCAAGGGGCCATTGTGTGCTCCTCCAGTGTCAACTGGCAACATGTTAGAGCCGTGGTCCCTGCAGCCCCCCCCCCAGCAGAAAACATGCAATATATCGACACAAAGCCCGTATTCCTAACTGTACACAGCTCACACAAGTACACAGGTAGCCCAGCTCTCGTTACACACCTCACATGCCCCCCTGTGCACCGAACGGGGGGCAAACACACGCTAGTGAGTGATTAAACTCCAATAATGTGGCACCTTCCTGAAGAGCTGTACTGATACATCCAAGGTGGGAACCTACAACCATGACAGAGGGAACTGGAGCCAGGGAGGAACAAATCTCACGTCATTCGAGGCAGGACCAGGAGGGGCGCCCAGGGAGTACCACCCCTGGGGGCAATCCCAGGGCCTACCTGACAGGGAGGAGCCCTCCACCCCAAGGGAAGCCACGGACACCCTCTTGTCCCACGGCCCCTTTCTAGGGAGCCACCGCGCTGCCGTGACAAGGCACCTGGGCGGCGTTTTACATGTAAGGAGTGGAGGCCTGTGACAGCCCAGAGCCCCACCAGACCGGAGCGCAGCGCATTGCTCAGGGTCGCACCGAGAGTCCTCAGGCCCAGGTGGCTCCCATACCCCCGAGCGAAGGGACACCGAGTATGGGCGTTTGAGACAGTCTCCCGTGAGCTGCTCATTGAAGAAAATGGGAAATGAGGGTAAAAGAAAACACACGGTCCTGGAGTCATCCCCCCCCCACCTCTGAAATGCGGTCCCTGCTCCCTCCTCCTCTCTGCCCCCAGCAATAGCCGCTCATGTGCTCTAGGGCCCCCACCTCCTGGCTCTCAGCAGCCAGCCTGCCCTGTCCTGGTGTATTGGCCACTGCCCACCGCACCCTGGAGACTGTCCCTTCCTTTTGGGCTGGAGGCAAGTCAACCAAACCCCCCCCCCACAGCAGTGAGTTTGTGTGAGGGGCCAATGCCCCTGACAATAAACCCCCACTGCCATTGGCTGTTCCACAGCAGAGCCCCATTGGTCACATGGAATCAGATGGGCCCAGATCAGATCATCCAGAATTGAAAACGGGTGTGTGGGGCTGCAGCGCCATCTAGTGGCTACAGGAGTTGCCACCCCAACCTGGTGTCCGGGTTGGGGGGTTCCTCTGCCCCCCCCAGCATCTGTACTGACTCCAGGTGACAGTGCACCTCCCATCACACACTGCAGCTAGTGACACCCTCACAGCTCCCCAGCTGTCCCTGCCATGAGGCAGGCAGGACCCGACTGTTACACCCACGGACAGAGGGAGAAAGGAAGATGGAGAAAGAGAAAGGCCCGTGTCTGACACCGCACAGCTGGGCAGAGGCAGTGTTGGGAACAGGACCACAAGCCCTGAGTATCCCACACACCCTCAGGCTGGAGTTTCACACCCTCATATGGGCTGCAGACCCAAGCCCTGCCTAGCGACTACTCAGCCAGTATTTTAGAAGCACTGGCCCATAAGCATGAACGAGGAACTGCTCCGACACACCCACTGGCGAGAAGCAGAATTCCCCAAGCAGACGACTGGTGCTGGCTCCTTTGCTGGGCTTAAGGAGAAACACAAGGGCCTGAGTCTCCGCCTCGTCACTCGGTGGGGGGCCCAGCTCTCAGGGGCGGGAGCCTGAAAGTTCTCTTCCCAGGTGGCCCAGTGGGGATGACTCACGCTCAGAGCCCTCTGCCTGGCCCATGTCTTTGGGAGGGCTTCCCACCCCTCGGGGCTGGAGAGCAGCCCCCTCCCCGCCAGCAAGAGGAGGGAGAAGGGAAACCAAGCCAGACAAAACCCAGTGTCCTCAGTGATTCTCAGGGACAAAGGCCTATGGGGGGGGGGGAGATAGTCCTTCACCGTAAGTATTTATTGTACAGGACTTGCATTTGGGCTGCATCTGTACCAAACCTCTCAGACGCTCACCTTCTCCACAGGGACGTCCGCCTTCTAGCTCAGTTACGGGAAGGGGAGAAAACTCAGAAGAGGCTTCTCCTCCTCCTCACGTTCATTGCCCTGCATTTTCTCTCAGTCCTTACAGGAAGGAAAAGCAACAGGGGCCTCTGAGATGGCCCCTGCCCTGCAGCCTGTCCCACCTGGCGGTTGTCATGGACCGTGTGAGGTCACCACCGCCCAGACCCGGGAACAGTGGGGGGCAGGTCCAACCGCGGGGACGCACAGAGGTGTGGGTTTTGGAGCAGAGCCGTCAGACAGCCTGGAGTCCAAGAAGCTACTGCGGGAGCTGAGGAGTCCAGGGCTCTGGTGGCTGAGGGTTTACCCAGAGGCCAGAGTGCAGGGCTTTCCAGGGAAGGGTCTCTCAGCTAAGTCCTACAGCTCGATGGGTGGCCGATAGCCCAGAGGGGGTTCCTCCATCTTTATCGGGGTGGCTGGGAGATAGAGGCGTCTCTGTCAATCCAAGCTGCCCACCTGTCACTCAGCCTTCAAGGGGGAGTGGTGAGTCTGGACTCCCTGCGGAGGGTGACTGTGATCAGACACGGAACTGGCACTTGCTCTGAGACAGGGAGGCAGAAATCTGTCTGTAAATGCATGGGAACAGGCTAAGGGACCACCCGAGGGATGGGCCGAGGAATGTCTCAACAGGAAGAGGGGGAACACCTTTCCATTGGAACCCCTCCCTTCCTACACCCTCAGGGTAGTCCTGATACAGCACGCCTTTCTGATGAGAAAGAGAAACCGGTAGCGGAACACACCACCTGGTACACAGCGGTGTTAAAGGGGGGGAGAAATACTGTACCCCACACAGGGTCTGCAGAGAGAGTGTGGTATGAGATCCATACTTGGAAACACTACTCCATCATTGGTTTGCTGGTAACCTTATGACTCGGCCTGCAATACGCATGGACCAGCACAAAGAAACTCATATGAACAGTAAACCTCTCGAAAGTATGCAGCATACGTGAGTTATAGAAAAACATCTGTGCTTGCTGGGGACAGAAGCGAAAGGATCGCACAAGCATGCAGCTTCTAAACTAATGACTGCATGGGCTTAGAGCCAGGCATAGCAGCAAAGGAACAACCTGCACTGCTGCATGGATGGGGAAACTGAGGCACACCCACCTTATGGTGACGGTGGCTAAATGCCAAGACACTTACACACTGTATATGTGCCCAGAACAAAATTCACATGGGGTGGCCATGGCAGGTCTGGGCCAGGGTTAAGACCAGTGGGCAGAGGTGTATCTCCCTGCCACAGCCCTAAGCACTTGTGCAGCACTTACTAGGCTGCTACGCGGTCACATGAACATGCAACTCAAAGGGACCTTGGGTTACAGGGTTTTCCCTTATGTTGATCCTTTGATGCTCAATGAGGGTTGCGTCCTGAGAGAAGGTTTCGCCCCAGTCAGAGGAACGGACGGATTTCTCTCTTGTGAAGATTCTCCTGGATCTAACATCGCCTGAGCTCTGAAAGCACCTTTCCCCGCAGCCAGGGCAGTTCCAGGGCTTCTGCCCTTGTGAACTGTGCAGTGATTGTAAAGATTTGATCGACAACTGAAACTTTTCCCACACTCCGAGCAGCTGAAGGGTTTCTCCCGTGTGTGGGTGCTCCGATGTCTGACAAGGTCTGACCTCCGACGAAAACTTTTCCCGCAGTCAGAGCAGCAGAAAGGTTTCTCCCCTGTGTGGATTCTCCCATGAGTAACAAGGCCTGACCTCCGACTGAAGCTTTTCCCACAGTCAGAGCATCTAAAGGGTTTCTCTCCTGTGTGTGTTCTCTGGTGACTAATGAGATTTGAACTCTGACTGTAGGTTTTCCCACAGTCAGAGCAGCGGAAGGGTTTCTCCCCCGTGTGGCTTCTCTTATGCCTAACAAGACTTGAGTGTTGATTGAAGCTTTTCCCGCAGTCAGAGCAGTTGAAGGGTTTCTCCCCTGTGTGGCTTCTCCTGTGGGTAACAAGGTGTGCCCTCTGATTGAAACTTTTCCCACAGTCAGAGCAGCTGAAGGGTTTCTCGCCGGTGTGCATTCTCCTGTGTCTAACGAGCAGTGAGCTCATACCGAAGCTCTTCCCACACTCAGAGCACATGTAGTGTTTCTTTCCTGTGTGGTTCCTCTGATGACAAACGAGACTTGAGCGCTCACAGAAGCTTTTCCCGCAGTCAGAGCAGTCAAAGAGTTCCTCCCCGGTGTGGGCTCTTTGATGTATAACCAGGTGTGATCGCCGAAGGAAGCTTTTCCCACAGTCAGAGCAGCTGAACGGTTTCTCCTCTGAGTGGAGTTTCTGATGTAAAAAAAGGACTAGTCTCAATTTAAAGCTTTTCCCACATATTTTGCAAGTGGAGGCTCTCTCTGGATTGGGTCTTCTCTGAATAGCTTTTTTGATTCTCTTCACACCTCTCCGGTGACTGGATTTACCCTGTCCCTCCCTTGCATGGTTTCCCTGCTGCCGTTCTAGGCTACGCTGACTCTCACAGGTCTCTCCCCGCTCAGGACTCTGGGAAACATGCCCTTCAGATCTTCCCAGTAACATGCCACATGGAGTCACATGCTCCAGTCCTTCCTGTGGAAGATTCTCCTCATTGTTTTCACTCAGTGTCCCATCACCTGCAGGGACTGAAAGAGAATCCAGAGAGGAGTCATTCTCAGAACTGAGCTGAAAGGAAAACTCTGACAGGGGAACAGAAAAGGAGGGAGGAATAATCATGAGCGAGTTCATCCTCCTTCCTCACAACCCTTTCCCAAAGGAGAGAGCCCTTCCCCCCCACACCCTCTGGACTGGAGTGGATCACAGGCTGAAGGGTCTGTGACGCTTGATGAAAATGCAGAAGTAACATCTCCTATGAAGACACAGAAATTGGTCTGAGTCAGTTCAGCCAATTAATCCCCTGTGCGGGTGTCGCTGCCGATCCGGGATCCGCAGCTCCTCCCCTCGCTCCACCCCGGAGATCGCGTGAGCTTTGGAGACTAGAAATCCTGCCCGGGGAGCAATGAACCCAGTGCAGATCTTGTTCATTAAGGTCTGTGCCATTACTGCTTCCAGAGCCAGGATCCAAGTCGCCCACCCAGAGAGGCTCCTCCCCCCTTGCAGAGACGGGGCTCTGGCTGGTAAAGATCCCATCTCACACTCACCTGCAGTAAAGGTGCAGCCCCCCCACCTCGGGAACGGCCCAGCGTATCCCCCAGGGGAGCTGAGCTCTGTGCTACACTCTCTAGGATACAAGTCAGTGTCCCTCATGGACCACCCCACCCCCCATTGCAGGGCGGGACAGGATCACACTGCTCAGGGGAGCTCCGGCCAGGGCTGGCAGGGCTGACACCGAGGCCCCCAGGCAGGGCTCAGACTGCAGCTGCGACATGGCAGGTCACTAGGACTGGAGGGGTGTCCAGCCCAGCCTGGGCCGCCCTCCATGCCTGCCCTTCCTTGCTTGACGGTCACAGGTAGGTAGGGTACACAGGATGCCCACCGCAGAGAGGTGGCAGGGTAGCCCCTCTCTGTCCCAGGCTTCCCAAGAGTGTGGGCAGGGCCGGGGGGCGGAGGGAAGCACG